TTTTAATTTTTTATCAATAATATCAAAATATGATTTTATACCATTTTCCCTTTTAATAATTGTAAAATAAATAAAATAATCATCAAGTTTGACAATATCAAACAAATATTGAACACCTTCCTTTTCCACCATTACATGTCCACTGTCAAGATTACAAATAATTTGATTGTTATAAATAACCTTGTATTGTTCTGTCTTTAAAAGAAAAAGATTTAATGCCAAATCATTTGTGTTTAAATTATTAATTTTAAATTTTTCATCAAGATGATCAATTAAAACTTTTGTTTCATTCTCTAATTTATAAACCTCCAAATTAAAATAATTTTTAAATTCAAAATCATCAAAATCGATAATCTTAATAATAAATTGCATGTTTATTTATTTTTTCAATATTTAAAATTGATACATGTTATTTATATAAAAATTATAACTAATTTAATTAATAATCCTTATTTAATTATACTAAAAAATATCAATTTAATTAATAATCATAAATCCTCCATTAATAAAATCAATAATGGTTTGATTTTTATAATAAATTCTATAATATTGTTTAACATCAACCGCATGATAATATAACTTTTTATCATCAATTTCATATAAACGCCACTCATCATTATCTTTACTAGTTTTTAAATCCGCAATCTTTAAATTTTCATTAGAAAAATCAAGATACTCTTTTTTTCCATTTTCAACTTTAACAATTTCTAAGAGTTTAAAAGAATTATCAAAATCAACTAATTTTAACATAAATTTTCCAAATTCTTTTTCAATCATTAATTTTTCTTCTTCAATACAACAAATAACTTGATTTTTATAAGATAATTCATATTTTTCTTCTTTTTCAAGAATATGATAAGCTTCATTACCCCAAGCAAAATTATCATTTTCTTTTAAAGTATCTATATTAATAACTTTAAATTCATCGTTTAAATAATCAAGATGGATCGTTTTTTCTTTTTGAAGAATGTAAACTTTTAAAGCAAAAGTATATCTAGCCATTGAACCAACAAATTCGTTAATCTTAACAATAAATTTCATATTTATCTCTTATTATTTTGTTTAAATTTGAATAATAAATATCGCGTTTATTTATATAAATAAATTAATAAAAAAAATACAAAATATTAATAATCAATTATATATTAAATTTTTCTTTGTAAAATTTTATCACAACCTCATTAGCC